ACTAATGAAATTATTACTAAATTAAATGAATGGTTGGAAATTTTGAATGAAAATTCCGAAAATGAAATTAAAAAGCAATTTTTAGAAAGTGATAAGATTAACAAAAATTATACAATAATCAAAGAAGAGCTAAAAAATATATACACAAGCAAACCATTTAATACTTTGGAAATTAGTAAAAGATTATCAAAACTAAATCTTAGTAAATCTGTTGGTATAGAAGTTCCAAATGATCTTTAACAATTATTTGTTTTTTTTAATTCTTTTTTTCAATATATTTTTAAGTATTATAGAATAAATTATATCATTTAACTTTTTTTTGCAAAAAAAAATCAATACTTTGTAAAATCTAAAATTTATAGTTATTTATACAAAGATTAATTTATGACAAAAAATTTACAACCCAGTTCTATACGGTAATCATCTTCGAATTAGTTTATATAGTCAAACTACTAATTTCGACCCTAAATGGTTTGGTTTGGCCGGTTTAACTAACGAAGCAATTATATAAATAGGGATGGCAAATGATTTAAACCGATCTTAAAAACATGATTGTTTGGTTTAAAATAGTTTTTAATATATTTTAAAACATTGACGTAATCATTGTTATCATAAAATTATGATGTAATTCAATATGAGTATAAACTTAATTTTTTATCATTAATAAAAAGTATTAAATTTGAACTACGTAGCAGTTTAGCATTTTAAATGCAATGCATTTGTAAGATCTTTACAAATAAAAATACCTTTAATAAATATGATAGTTTAATAAAGTATTTTTTTCCATATGAATATTTCACGAAACGATATTATAGAGCTTTTTCCGGTATAGAAATTAACCGACCAGAAACAATTATTTCAGTTTCAAACTTGACTGGCATTGTTTTAAACCGTTTTTGTGTTTCAGTTAAAAAATACAAAAAACATTTTTAACCTGTTTTTTTGTCATCTCTACTTACACGCCTAGTAACGGTCTGTCTACGACGAACTGCATATAACGCTCTTATGTTATTGTTGATGCAGACTGAAGGATAATACTTACATTAAAAGATATTGAAAATCAGAATCTACTAGTTAGCTAATCCAATTTGTAAAAAATTCACAGATCATAAAAATAAAAAAAGATATTGAAGTAGCTTTAATTAATCAGAAGTCACCTAGAATATTGCCTAAAATCGAGTGATTTCTTTTTTTTTTTTTTTATGATCTCACAAATTATGCAAACTGTAATAAATGACTTCTAGTAAATTAACAATTTAATTAAGAATGGAGGAAAGAGTCAGTTCAAGTTCTTCTTTAATCACGACAATACTTTTAGGATAAGCATAAAGGATCTAGAATCTACCTCTATTAACCAAGCCAGAGAGTTTATAAAAGATTTTAGTGAATTGGATAATTTAATTAGATTTAAGCAGTTAGTTGAAAACCTTGAAATAGAATTGCCAAAAGAATTATTGATTAAATCATTTAAACTACTTAGTGATGCTTCAGCATTTGAATATCACTCAGAAAATATTATGATACGTCTTGAAATACATCTTCAAACTTGGATGGCAACCTTAGAAAGGGTGTACTATTATCCTGTTGTTCTAAGTTATGAAATGCATGAGCACCTTTATAACCATTTAACGACTTTGTTGATTTTTATCTTAGAATGACAAACATTTTTAAGCAAGGAGTTGGCAACAGTTTTAAGTCAAAGGGAAAATCCAAGGAAATTCAAAATAATAATAATATTTATATGTATTTTCAAAATTATAGTATTAATTTTTTATTAATTCACATACGTGATACTTTAGATAGTATGCGTGATGATGAAACACGTATAGATGAAATGTTATAACGTATTAAAGATTTTCTTTTAGCATTTATTCGTATTTCACCTAAAGCTACTGAAGCAGCATTAGGTAATACTTCAGGAGCACTTGGCATTGCTAAAATATTACTAAGCCTTGCTCAAGCTTTTAAATTTAAATATCCTATTACTTATTGGTATCCAACTTGGCAAGAACTTCTATCAATTCATTATTTATTAAAAAATTTAGCTAAGGATGAGAATTATAATAAATTATGATTCTATAATGAAACTTACCTTCTCGAATTACTGTGGCAATGTATCTTTGATTTGAATTAATCAAAAAGCACAAAATGAGATTTTAAATAGTCAAAATGAGATTCTTGAATTTATGAATTTATGGACAAAAAAAGAACCAACAGCACCTCCAAATTCTTTGTGGTTTGGAATTTTAGATCTTGCTCAACACTTAAGCCAAAAAACAACTCAAGTCATTAGTTATTATTTAGCTTTAGAATAATTACAAAATTCTAAATGCACTTATATTTGTTTTAAATCTTTAGAATTGCTCTTATCACTGTTTTATCAAAAATCAGAATTATTTAATGAAATAGTAAATGATGATATATCAACAAATACAAGGAATCATTATCAACGACTTCTCAACAAATTTTAGAAAAAATCATTCATGATGTAGATCAAAAACTTCAATTAAATCTCAAATTTATGAAACAGTTAAATGTAACAGGTATTAAAGAGAATTCAGAAATCAAAAGTGATAGAATTAATATTAAATATAATTGCAGAAGAACTTAGCATAGAAGAAACTCGTATTTCATGGGAAAATACGGATGTGTTTTTGTTGTGATCATCCAATCAAAGCCAGTCATATTGCTATAATTTACTATGAGCTTAACTTCGCTCTTATGAAAACTTTCTGAGGAAAACATATGAAAGCGATTGAAAAAGATTTTCTGTTAGAAAAACCTATAATGATTAGATTTTTTAATAGTGTTGGATTCAATTATCAGGTAAAGCAGTTTCAATCACGGTTTTTAATTTTAGAGTACAATGCAATTCATTGTCTGTATAAATAATTGTGTAACACATGTGTTTGGAAAGTGCCGGGAACGAGTTTCTTCTATGCTGAAGAACTTACTTGTCCAATTACTAAGCAAATAACTGGAGATTTCTTAATTTAACATGTGGGCATTCTATTAGTTGTTACGCTATTAATAAATGGAAAGAATAATAACAATTGAAAATAGATTATTTGAGTGTCCGTTTTGTAAAAATTTAATTGAATTAAATTCAACTTATAATATAACCTTCCAAAAAATAAAATATTAGAAGGTCTTTATGTGAAATTGGAACAATCAGGTTATTTTGATAAATTATTTCAAGAATATAAAATATCCAAATATAAAATTTATATGGCAGAAGATGATCTATTTTTAAAATTTAGTAAGAATAAAATATTTCAAAATTCTATGCTTTCAAAGCTTCCTCACCAATTTTTTCAAAAAATTCAACCAAAGCTTATGCTACCAGCATTTAGTATGGCAGCTAAAGCAGAATTACAAGAAGACTATGCAACAGTTATAATGTGGCTAACTCAAGTTTTACAACTACACCCAAAAAGCTATTCAATTCGATGTAGAAGAGCGTTTGCATCCTATAAACTTAAAATGTATTCAAAGGCTAAAGATGATTTAGATGTAGCAATCCAATTAAGGCTATTAAAATCATTGGGCTATATTTATAGAAGCCTGATATTTCGTGCTATAGACAGATATGAAGAATCACTTGTAGATTTAAATAAATCGTTAGAGATTGAACCAAATAATGCATTTGCGTTAGAAAACCGTGGACAAATTTATCGTATGTCAAAAAGATATAATTAATCACTTACAGTGTTAAATAAATCATTAGCGATTGAACCTAAAAATGCAAGTGCATTAAGAAGTCGTGGAGAAATTTATCGTATGTTAAAAATATATAAAGGATCACTTGTAGATTTGAATAAACCGTTAGAGATTGAACCAAAAAATGCAGGTGCATTAAGGATTTGTTGAGAAATTTATTTTATGTTAAAAAAATATGAAAATCACTTGCATATTTGAATAAATCATTAGAGATTGAACCAAAAAATGCATCAGTATTAAGAATTTGCGGAGAAACTTATTATATGTTAGATAGATATGAAGAATCACTTGCAGATTTAAATAAATCAACAGAAATTGAACCAAATAATGCATTTGCATTAAGAAGCCGCGGAGCAACTTACCGCAAATTAGAAAGATATGAAGAGTCAATAGCAGATTTGAATAAATCATTAGAGATTGAACCAAGTAATGCATTTGCATTATACGAATCAGGACAACTTATTGTTTATTCATAAATTAAACAGAATAATGTTTACATTAGATGATAGTAATGCAATTATAGACGCAAAACACCGAAACTTATGCCGTTCTCATCTACGGTTTATAGAATGAACATTTCTAAATTGTCATATGTGGTGTCCAGTGTTCGATGTGGTGCAGTTACATAGGACAATTCGGACAGTTCCCAATGTCCGGTTATGTGTCCAATGTTAATGACCAATCAAGTATATTGACACTAATAATAATATAGCTTAGGAATTATAGCAAATCAGTATGGTATATTTTAAAACCATATTGTACTGTTCAGCTATAATTCCTAACCCTAACGCTAATATGTACAAGGGTACGTATTTTAATGTATTATATGGATCTGTTCACCTATTGGTCTGCGTAGTTTTTGATCCCTAATGCTAACACTAATACTGTATGAGGTGATTCAATTTCATATGAATCTATATCTCGTCCAATGTCCATTGATTTGATAGGACAATTCGGGCATTGGACATCAGACAGATTTCCATTGTCCGAATTCCATTCATGTCAACCTTGATTAAAAAAGTTTAACATTTCGATCATTAGCAACTCACATTGAAAGCACTGCTTGATGACAACTTTAATAAACAATAGAAAAGACTGTAAAGATGGCGCTTTAAGTGAGTATCTCATTGCAATAAATAACAATAAGGCAGTTGCGGATAGTTAAAATTCTAGCTTTAATTAGATTAATAATTGAGATATATAATTTTAAAATTTAATAATTGAGATATATAATTTTAAAATTTAATAATCAAATAGACATTATTCTTGGTGCACCCTTGCTATATCTCAAAATTTGCTAGGTTAACCCTGTCGTATAACTAACAAAAAATAATCCTCTTGCAATTTTACCCTAACCCCAACTCTGACTCTAACCCGAATTTTTATTTTATTTAAATATTGCTATAAAGTGCACCAAATGCACCCTGTACCAGTGTTGGCACATTGTCATTTAAAATAAATGACAACATGTCATATGACAAGTCATTTTGTCATAAAAAATATAATAAATTTTTATGACCACATGTCATTTATATATCATAAGGTTTTATTAACCAATAAAAATCAATAAAATACTTGCATTAGAAACTCAGTAATATATATTACAAATTTTTAATGCTGTACATTCGCAAAATCAGACAGACTTGTTCTGATTTCTTGTTGCAAATCTTCAAAATTACAGTGGGGATCGCTTCAATTTAAGAGCATCATTAGTCCCAAAGTTTAGCGATTATTTATTGGGCTGTCTTATTTAATTTCTTATCCACATTAGTCTGTACATATAATTATCATCTAAATTAAATTAATATAACCAATCCGTGTGGCATAGGGTATGAAATATCCCTATTTTTAATATCTGTTCTGACGTATATATTGTAGGGTTAGCATTAGAAAATTAAATTGGCTTGGTTTGATATGTGTTTAAAAGGAATTTTAAACTCTATACTACATACATTAAAAAGCTTATGAAATTTCTTGTTTGTTCGAATTATAGCATCTTATATCAATGTAGTTATGTTGTATTTAATTGTATATTTGATATTTATTTATCTGAATTCAAACTTATATATGTATAACTATTTTGTATAAGTCTTCCAATATTTTCTGCATGACAATATTGTGCAGCAACTTATTTAAAATTATATTTAATCTCCTACCTTATTTCATTTAGTCAGCAATGATCATAATAGTGGGTGTAATTAAAATAAGCTATTTTTTATATTTATATTAAATTAGTCCGTAAGTATAGTCTAAAACATTTCAAAAAAAATTTTGTTGCTCTTTAAATCCAAACCCAACAAATCACAAAAAATTAGGCTATACAATAATTTTATGCTATATTACAGTCTTGGATATTACCAAATATAGAAATCAATTTATAACATAGTAAAGAATACTCTAGAATTGATTTATATATTAAAATAACTAGTAGCAGGATCATGAACATGTTAATAATAAACTTTTGAATTAATTCTAATATAAATAGTCTTAAAGATATATAGTCTAGGATCCCTCATGATCCCAGAAGCTTTATAAGGTAATTGTTTACCAAATCAGTAAACAAACATAATTGGTGTAAATTTAGCCCCATAGACTAGTATAGAATAGCTATAGACTTAAATAGAAGTACTAAGAATTTTCCAAATATACAAAAAAAGGTGTGACCTGCATTGTCCAAATTTGATAATATCCAAGACTGTATCAGAACTGACTATATAAGGTCTTTGCCTTGAAAATCACATTATGGGACATAGTAAATTATATGTTCCATAATGTGATTTTCAAGGCAAAAACCCCATATATAAAAACTAGACTGGCCAAACCTAAGGCAGAAACTAACTAACAGCCCTAATTGTATACATGATCTAATTTAAATATGTTAGATCTAATATCACAAAATCCAGAATCAGATTTACTTAAAATTTTAAACCACTTAATATTCAGATATTTCCTGTTTATGTTTTGCACAATGATATCATGTAGCTATCTTATTATTAAAAGTAATAAGACTAACAACCTTAACATCATATAATGCAGATTTAAATTTAGCTACTGTATGTATAATTATAATCAATTGCTAATTTAGAAATAATGAAATTACAAATAATAGTTTATTGACAGCTTATTTACTAACAAGTTTTTTATACTATAAATGATTAGAAAATAATAAATCTTTGTTATTTACTTATCATTTATAATGTCATTTATAAAAATTGGTTTAATGATTTGTCATTTTGCCAAGATTTGACTGATTTTTTTTTTAGGAAAAATGATAATAACAATTTAAAATAAATTCGACAAAGAATCTGATTGGTCATTTGATTAGACAAACCAATCAAATTCTTTTATTGGAACCATTGATGGAGGTACTGTACTTAAGTGTTTTTTAGCCAAGTTTTATCGAATATATAAAATACAAGTCTTGTGTGCCATTTTGGTAACAATGAAAAAAGAGTTAATTGTGTTGGAATTATCATGATTTTTATTATAATTTCTATAAAAAAATTCCTTTACAAACCTACTTGACACATAATACATTTTGAGGTTGTGTTTGTATCAAATTCTATCATGAATTATTGTAAAAATTCTTATATAAAGTTTGCTTGCTATTCTAATATATAGTTAGGGTTGAATTATGTTTGTATTGGAATTCTTATAGTTTTTATTATAAGTTAAGGTTACAAACCTTACTATGTATCACATAGTTTCTAAAAGTTCTTGCATTTAGTAAAAGAATACAATAAATGATGAGGTATATTATTATTTGAAAACAGCAAAGGCGAAATAAAAATATAATTCAAGTAACTCACATAATTATGCGATCGATTAGGGTTATCATGAGAATCAGAGTGTTGGGTGGGGTTAATGAGATCAGGTACAAAGGGTACTGCTGCATCTAAAGTAGCCCTGTCTAAAGTCTAAAGTAATAGCTGACTAAAATTAAGCCCAGCTTCATGCATGTATTAAGTCAAATTTTAGTCAGACACCACTTTAGATGTACTAGTACTAATATTATCCATATTTTAGTTAGGTGAGACTAGAGGTGCAGGCAGAACTATTTCAGTGAACCATACAACAAATATCAAGTTACAGTTATGGTTACGGCAAAAACTATATAAGACCGAATTTATATGAATCCCAAATATCATAAGAATCCCAAATACTGTATCAAAATTCTGTATTAATGATTTAAATTTGATATGATTATATTAAACTATCATATGATTACATTAAACTATAATCAATATATGTAATATATATATAATAATTAATTAATCACTTGTAACATCACATTACCATTGCTATTATGTAATATAAATAATATAAAAGTTATTTTCTTGAAATTTAGTCTATTAATGAAAGGTTTATTTTTTACAATAGATACAAATAATGAAGTTTTAAATAATAGCTCATATTCGCCTTTATCTGAATTAAATTATAAAATCAGTCAACAACTTTTTACATGTCAATCATTGAATTCACAACAATCAAATTGCTTCAAAAGCAAAATTCAAATGTTATATCTCAAAAAATTAACAGTAATCAAAATAACTCATCCAATGAAGAAAATTTATCTGATCAGCCTAAAAAAGGCATTGTGGTGGGCAATAATAGTTCATTTAGTGATAATTAGAATATGGTATTAAATTATAATGCTCGACGAGTAGGTTCAGAAAGCCTTAATTACAATACAGCAAATGTAGTAGCTTGAATTTTTAATGAAGAAAACAATGAACAAGGTCTTCAATTATTATCAAAAACTAGCCAAAATGGCCAAGTACAATTAACAGACTGTCAAATTAGAAAATGCTAGTAGAATATACAAGTTATTATAAATGGAATAATAAATAAGCAATAGAATAACAAAACATTGTAATAGACATATATGAGCACTTTTTAATAGAAAGAGGGTAGATCTACTTTTTGGCTAAAAAATTTTTTTTGGCCTATTAAATAAAGCATAACCAGATATATTATTCTAGTTAAATGTTAAATTATGCTAGCTTAATAATTTTTTAAGTTTTACATGTAATCTTTATTATCTAGTACTGTATACGGTACCGGTGTGACATGATTTTTACATAGTGAAAAATTAAAAGTCACGTGTATTGTACAATTGTTTACATCACATGGCATATATAAATAATATTTTAAAAAATTGATCTACATATTTGTCACCGGTAGTTGTTTTGATCTACAAAAACGTGATTTTCTCAAAATTTATAATCAAATCTAAAAGGAGATCTACCCCCTTTCTATTGAAAAGTGCCCATATATCGATATCGATATATACTGTATTTGCTATATGATTTTAATAAATAAATTTGCTGCTGCATTTAAAAAAATAAATATATATATTTACAATATGGCAAGTTACGGCAAGTTACGATATATAAAATTGAGTTATGGTATTTATAAAAAGTTATAACATAAATATTTATATCGGCATATATGCAAGTTATAGCATGCTGCAATTTAAGGTAAAAAGCTATAACTAGTTATAACTCAGTTATGGTATGGGCTATCCCAATTTCTCAAGTTCCGCCTGCACCTCTAGGCGAGGCCAATTCGATTCGGTAGTTTACATTGCCCTTTTTGAAATACATGCATAATTTTGGGTGGAGAACTTAATGTCGGATAGAGTTAAGACTAGAAATTGCAAGGGTACGAAACTTTCCGAAAAGAAAATGAACATAAAAGACGAGTGAGGGGAGGCCGATAATTTCCGATTGAGAAAAAATTTTTAAAATTTATTATATTGTATATTCCATTCTCTCTACCTCCCCCCTCTTTTGAGAAAGGAATGTAACGTAAACTATCGAATTAAATTTGTCTCGGCTAACTAAAATTGCACATACAGACAGCATTAGCTAACTAATAATTAAATTGAAATGTGTGGAACACGGAATAGCAGTATTTATCATTGTTTGATTAAACGGTAAAAAATGGATTATATTTATATTTATTACATTCGAATCAGGTTATCAATTATCTGTTTTAAAAGCTTCAAATATTAATTTAGAGAGTTCATTGTTTATTCAGTTGATATGTAAAAATGTAAAATCATGAACGACCTATATCTATATTATATCAGTGCTGATTAGTTTACCGAAATAGCAACTCGTTTTAATTTATTCATTTGTTCGGATTAATATTAATTTTCGATCTAAAACATCTATTATTTAAAAAATGTGTGGATCACGTGATAAGACTACCTCAAACTCCACCGTAAAAATCATTTTGATTATAAAAAAAAAATTCACAAAAATTTGTAGAAATTTGGATAACTTTTTTATCAATATTAAAATATAATAGCAAAAATTGATATGTATGATGTAAGGATCTATAAAAATTATTTGGTTTACGTATTTAAAAAAATTTTGGTTGAAAAGTTTAATTTTTTAATCTCACACTTAAATCAGAATAGTATATTATTCCGAGAATACCAAAATTTTCCGTAATATTCAAAACAACCCTAGCGTAACCATGAAAAAATGGTAGCCGGATTTTTTTTGCCGGCCGGCTTACATATAACTTCGGAAAA